CAGCTGCGAGGGGTTAGGCCCGTCAATGGGTCCCGCAGCATTCCCTGTCTGCTTTCTGGTAAATACTCCAATTTATAAATCGTCGCTTTTAAATTTCCTTAAAAATTTACTGCAAACTTGGAGTAGGTCAGCATATTTAAGGTCCCACCGACGAGCCGAACCCCTCGCAGCTGGGTCATGCAGCGACAAAATATCAGCGAAATACGCGTGTATGGACCTTTGGCTACTACCTGTGCTGTTAGTATGGAACTACCTTCCCCTAAAGTATACTACTAGCTTCCTGTCGGCAGTTAGTGAAAATTACGTAGTTATCCACTGTGGCTGATGGACTTCGGCCCAAACCTTCATATATAAAAACTTTGGTCTGAGCCTATAGATCCTAAATACACTGATCTACTCCAACTTTTCAGTTAATTTCTAAGGAAATTAAAAAGCAGCTTTCTCTAGGCAAACAATTAATCTTTAAAACCTGACATTTTGATGTGTAATTATCATGAACTGGCTCTTCTGATCCTGTTCATCTTAAGACTCAGCCATGTCCTAGAGTACAGGATTATTTTGGTTAATTTCCGGGTTTTCGTATACCCATTTTCTGTGGTAAAATTTCAATCTGGCGTCTGAAGGCAGTACTATCAAGGTGTTCAAATATCCAGAATGTCTGAGAGCCAATGCGTTTTCCCATCAACAAGACTAGCAGCTTTCCGTCCATTATAGTCGGTAAATGCTGTTTTCCGGAGTCCAAAGACATCTTTTAAAATTCTTTTTATCATTTGTGTCAATTCCACATTTCTAACATGTATTTTTGCGCTGTTAAAAAATCAACGAGCAATCTTTTTTAGTCAAAGCTACTTGGCCAAACATCGCATCACAGGCACTTAAGAGAAGGAAAATTACTAGCTAATCCCATTGTAGACTACCTTTGGTTACATTTTGTGGGCGGAGAATATTTAATAATATCCTTCCTCGAAAATGCGCATCCCTTTATCTTGTTAAATTCTTTGCAAAAGTACTAATTTTTAGCCTAAATTAAACATCATGCCAAATTAATACCTTTAAGCCGTCATTAGTATTGCATGGTTATTTCAACTTTTTCATATGTGATAGTCGTAAATATCGGTAAAAAGTACTATAAGGGATCGTAAAACTTTCTAATGATAATCATAATATCATATCACTAAAATTTCTTCTATTCAGCAATAGATCTTGAAGGAAAATTTGTTGACGTTTACCGGAATTGGACGAATTGCATTTACACTTTTCTTGTAGGGAGAGATCACCACGCATATGTTTTAACACTCTGCACCTTCATATCTTTGGAGAAAGGTACTCCGAATACCCTTCAAATTATGTACTTGCATAATTTATAAATATCCCCTGGTGCGACCGCAGAAACAAAAATAATTTTTATGCCGCTGCTCCGTTGGGGGCAGTAAAGAAGGTTTTACTGTAGGAATCTCAAAGACCACCAAAGCAACCTTTCAGAACAGTTCAATACGCATGTTGTATTGATAGCTGACAATGTAGTTATGCAAGTCGTCTTTGAAAATGACATGTGACAATAGACTTTTTCGTTTCATTGAGAAAATTGCTTAGTGAGTCCTATTTCTATCTGACCTTTCTGCTGGAAGTTGCAAAATGCGTCTAATTATGTTATAGAAAGATGTGTATGGTTAACAAAGTTTGTATTAGTACGCCGTCATGCTCACTTTTTATTACAGAAATGAATATCCTTCAAAATTGCTCATTTAAATTTTGCCGAAGAGTTTCTGAGTTTGCTTTATGTGACTTTTAACAAACAGATTCATCTACACGTAGGGGAGGGGGCTTAGTTCGAAATGGTTTCCCCTACCTTTTCCCTAACTGCCGTGAATGCTGGGATAACTGTCTCAACATTATTAAGTCCAATCTCTCTAATATACCTGCTGAGAAACTGCAAAGAAAAAGCACACAATTAATGCATTGTGACTCCTCCAAAACTTCGAGAATTAATAACAAACATTCCTTAAAGTTGAGTTCATGAGCTACACTGTCTATATATTCTACTAAAAAAAAGATGCTTCGGAATCAAGTTGAGTGAATTTATCCGCATAGCGGAGAGCCCAGGATATAGCGTCCCACAAAGAGCACGCTTCTTTGTAAACCGCCGTATGTAAGCATTTCTTAGTTTCTCAAAATTACGAGCTACGAATTCCTGTTCGAATAGCAAAGATACATCTTTTTGGCATAATAAACCACATGAACCCTTCTCGCGGTCTGTTGGCGACATGAGGACAGCGCAGTGCTCACTTTTTTTATTACAGAAATGAATATCCTTCAAAAATTGCTCATTTAAATTTTGCCGAAGAGTTTCTGAGTTTGCTTTATGTGACTTTTAACAGACAGATTCATCTACACGTAGGGTAGGGGGCTTAATGATGTGCCCACTTTCAGAAGTATACTCGTGTCCAAAATCTGGCTGGTTAGATGTGCCCTCTAGGTCATCTACAAACTTTAACATCGTAAATTATGTTCTAATAAATCCACTAATAATGTATATTATTAGTGGATGATGAGGGCGAGAAGAACAAAACCAAAAGCAATACGCGCATCGGTTGGGACAATTACTCAAAATTATTTTACTGGTATTCCCGAAAGACGATGTAATTGTCTTTATTTTAATCCTTATTACTTTCCAAACCGATTAGCTGTAAATTTGCTGTTTATGGAGGCGGAAAATACCGCAACAGAATTGAGGAGAGCCACAGGAGTACTTTTTTTAAAATAATCAAATCATTAAACGGGCCATGTAAAATTAATGTAAAGGAATAATGCTTGGTTCGCCAGCTCTGTACTTCTAGTTTCTTAACGTACATGATATTCCGACCTGGAAAGGAGAGATTATATGCGCTAATTTCCTGGTAACTTAGGCAGGAAACCGCTTAGTGCAAGGTAGGAAAGTCGCTTTCGCTCAAAACATTTAAGGTAAAGGGCCGGATGCGTTTACCTTCTTGTTTTGTTGGTTTAAAGCCTTATTCACTGAAGGCTGACTTGTATATGACTGCGCCTCAAAATGTAGCAGAACGCTTTCATGCAAATAACGATTGGGGGATTATTTAGCCTATTCTTGACATGTTTTTCTGGCAACTTGTGCAACGCTTTAGTTGTGGCGGACAACAGACCAAATGCTGTGACGTAAACCACGTGTGATATTGTTTACGAGGATACCGTGCATCCGCCGTCCAGGATTCTAATAAAGGCAACCTGCGGCCAAATCCATATGGTTATGAAGCTCGAGATCCTGCCGCTTGTGACAGGACCTGCTTATTTCTCAAGTCGTTATGACCACTAACTTCGGTTACTAGGCTTGCTCAATAACATTTGGGCATTTCGGAAAATAGTGTCAAGTTGTATTTGATGAAATGAAATACAAAAGTATCTAAAAATCAATGGTTAATGTTTCAGTTTACTGAATTTTTTGTGGAGGATTGTGTACTTGTTAAAGGAAGCATGCTGATAACTTGAAACATGCTTCACCCACAGAGTCAGACACCTTGTGGATTCGTGGACATGTAATTACGAGTGCGTGACTAAGTTAGTACTAGTGCGGTCCATATAACCAGATAAATTCTCTCCTGATGCATTTTCGTTGTTGAGTGAGGACTCCGTTGTGTGAATTGGCAGAGTTGTTTTGGTTACGATTAGTCGAATGTTTAGCACATTGCCACTGAAAGAACTAAAACGGTAATTTGCGTTTTGTAGATTTGACTACTCCTTTTAAATGACGGCTCGTATCATTGCGCTTCGACTCACATCGGAGCAACGTGGAACTTACAAAAGTGAGAGTAGATGATGGAAGTTAGTGCATCCATTCTCTTTTTGACGATGACATAAAAAATTGCATCATGTGTGGAAGCGAATTTCGGGGAAACTGTGCGGCAGATGACGTAACTATACATACATCTACTTCAAAACCCTATTAGGCTACCCTGCCCTGTAGACAAAAATCATCTAAAAGGCAATACAGAGCATTGTTTTAACGTCTAATGAACCGTCTGGGACTGGATAAGCGCTTGACCAGTAATGGCACAGGGGTGCTTTAAAGTTATCTGCATTGAAACACTTGAGCGTTTGAGACAGTGTCTATGTTCAGTTGTTGCGCTCGCCACGTCCTCTGATATACAAGGAGCTCAAGACCTATACTTGAAAACTACATCATTTAAAGCTTACTGCTAAACGTTGGCGAGTTTTAGCTGCCGTGTAGTGCAGGTATTGAAAATAGACAACATATGGTCTTGTTAACTGCTTACGTAATGGACATATGCATTATGTATGGAACAGCCAGAAGAGTCAAGCACATTTTCAGGCAATGCCGGAATGAATGCAAAACCTGTTTCATCGTACTTTTAGGATTCTTTTGCATGAAAAAACAGTTGCAGGTAGGTTGGCAGGAAGCGAATCTTCGGTACAAAATACCTGAATATACACAACACAAGATTTTTTGCCCACCTTGCTACCTGGGCGCCTACCAATGGTATAAATTGCACACCACTTCTTTATAAGTATTTAATTCGCAGGATTCGCAGTCGTTATCCATTTATGTTTTCACTAATGCGTATATTACATTTAGCACTATTGTTAAACGGCCTGTATAATGACTCCAGTTTTTACTCATTAAAAATGTTGTTGACGCGTCATTTTACCCAATTGCCCATAATTCTCAAAGACACTATAGTTTAACGCAATCAAAGCTATTAAAATAGATGATATTATAACTTCAGAAACGTAGTCTACTGCTTGCAGCTTGAATCATTTGTTAAGGTCTGTATGGAAACTGCGCATGCATAGTCAAACGCTGTCTCTCGCAATAAATGCAATACATCATAACAAATCTTATTTTGCAAAATGAGAGAATTGCGAAACAACACGAAGCGTTAACTGCCAGAGTTTTGCACGGCCACTCACCTGAACTTGTCATTCATTTAGCGCCAATTTTCTGTAATGCGGCGAGGGTCCTGTAAAATCTAGACGGTGTCATCCGTTGACGCTAAAAAGTAGAGGTAATTTTGTTACCTAAAGTTTGACTATTACTCCATTTTCCGCATGTTAATTTACATTAATATTTTAGTACGAAACACGGAGTGTATTTAGAGCCTTCTCAGTAGGTGTCTCTTCGAGTTATATCTACACCAAATAAGAAGGGAGAGTTCCTTGGACTATTATTTCAAATAATCAGTATTATTACGTGATGAGTGATTGCAATAGCGCCCGAAGAACACGTCAGACCTTTACAACGTGGGTCCAAAGCAAGAAATTTCAGTGATTCTTTAGCCCCTTATCCATACATATACAGCCCTACACTTATGTGAGAAAACTTGCTTATCTTCACTAACAATGTAAAGTCTGAGTATTCTCCCACATAGCATATTCACTTCATATTTACAAGTGTCATAACGCGTGCTTTAGTCTCTATTGTCGGGAGCATTTAAAAAATATCATGAAGTATGGCGTGTTGAAACATGTCAGTATTATGGCGCGGACGTGTTATGGTTATTACGACAGAAGCAATCCTTGCTGTGTGAAGACCAACCGCGTTAAAGCAACAGAAATAACTGTCAGGGCCCCATAAGCGCTGGTTCCGATCTTGGAAGAATACAAAGTATCTTTAAATATACTCCACTGTTGTTGGCAATCATCAAAGTACAAGCAGCAATTTTACTCAAGAAAACGAAACGTCCATTTAATTATATGTTTGTCTCAGTAAGTGATCGATTGTTAAGAAAGCCACAGCTCATTCTTCGAGCATTTTCAGTTTGGGTTGAATTCTGTGTCATAAGTGGTAGTGAATACAAGTGAAACGCTCCGGTTTATCCGTTTTTTTAAATGCACGGTTGAACTTTACACCATACCTTGTTCGTGTTATTTGGTCCTGCATTTGGCTAGGTAAAAGAGCATCCTTCTACAATGATTAAAGTCACTAATTGCCTGCTTATGAACACAGTCAAACACTCCGAGTTGTCAAACAATGACGGAAAAACGATTGTCGCGTTAATTGTTATATTAGGTTCAGAAATTGCAGCCTCTGAAATGTTGAGCTATTTTTTCCCCACATGCTTGAACACTTTTAAAAATCTAGGGATTAGATTAATTTTCATCTTTTTCATACATTTGCGTACATCTTTGTTTATTTCTGTCTCATGGAGTGAGGTACAAGAGTACTGTTTGATACTTCAGGAAACACTGAAAGATCAAATTCAGATTATCGCTAATTTATTTTGTCAGTCGTAACACAGTATCGAAAATTATTAACAGGAGCAGTGAAAATACAGGTGGGTACAAACGTCACTCACCCACCTTAAAAGCCAACAAATGTTTTGCTACAGGTTTTTAAATTTTTATTTAAGATTTTGAAAGGCTTTTGTGGAATTTATATTGAAAACTTCACAACAAAGCAACATTTTTATTAGTGGACTTGTAAGTTAACGTAGAAAATCTACAAATGGCGGGGTTAATTAATTCCTTAATGATGAAGAGACTTTTTGCCGGCCTGTATGAAAATATACTGCAACTTCTACCGGCCGACATGTCGTGAAAGTTAGTTTTAAAATAGAACTCGAAAACTAAATTTTTACATTTTGGAATCCTAAAGGAAAGATTGACCTCGGTACCAGATTCGGACGAGTTTCTTTTATGTCTTATCTGACTATTACTTATTGTTTGTTTTGTTACTTACAATGAAACAACACATTGCTTTAGGTGTTTTTGCATCCAATGCATTTCACACTATGCTAGATATGCAAGTGTCGTTTTGGTTTTGAGGTCCTGAGGATAACCTTGACAAACGTCGGTACTGCTGAAGCTGTTATGAAGGACAAAAATCAAGCCTATGAAATTATTTTCCACTCGAAGGGAAAATTTCAAGAATTTCATACGAGATGCGTGCCCACCTGTAAATCTCAACCAACGAGCAGGCCTAACAATAGTGAAGCAGTCTGGTCTATTGAATCACAAACGCGATGAGCTAAATCTGCTTCCAACTGTCCTTGAAAGTGAGGTAATGATGAGTTCTGGTGCGTTTTTTATAGTAGATCAAGTTAAACGTCAACCTAGATAATAGCGGACATCAGAGCCTTCTGTTTTGCTTCATTTGCGGTAAGGGTTGGCTGCAAAAATGAAAGCTTAATGCCTACGTGCTCACTTTACGCATATTTACAGGTCTTGCTATGCAGCATGGTGAGGGTAAATGCGAAAATGCGAGAATAATCGAGTATAACAGTTTTACGAGTCCGTACCTTTGTTCTGTCTGAACTGGCCTGAGCATGCTTATGAAATCTTTCAAGAAATTCTTGAAGGTCGTCCTGTTCTGGAATGCCCCTTCGTCTAAATGGACCAGCCAAATAAGCTGGCGGCTGTAGCTCCTCAGCATCTTCTTCGTCTTCATCATTATCCTCCTCCTCGTATCTGTCGGTTTGAAGCACTCTTGGAGACGCTATTCCATTTGAGTTGTCTCGAACTCCGTTCAGATAACTGCTCAGCAGTCTCAACTGATAGAGTTCGCGAGCGGCTGGTGAAATCTCAAGGGCGCGTGCATGAACTGGACGAGGAAAATTAGTCGGCTCCCTACCGAATGGGTTGCGATGCAAATGGCGTGCGAAGAGGGAAAACCGTTCCTGCGCCTTGCCAGAGTCATCGTCCTCCTCACCCTCGCTTTCACTTCCAACATCCGTTTCCCTCGAACCTCTTGGTTTCTGCTCTTTCTTTTCTTTTTTCGTATGGTCTTTTAAAAGTTCCTCGGACGGCATGCTCATAATTTCCTCGGCCTTGTTTTGGAGCTTCGAGGCTGCCGCGAATGCGCTTTGAGCTTTTTGTAGAAGAATGCTGGCGTAGAGACTCTCAACGTCGGCTGCCTTTTGGAGCATGTTTGCCTGCTGCAGATCACGCATCATATCCAACATTGCCTGTTCCTCATGCTCATCCCCATCTCTTGCCGCTAAGCCCTCGGAACTGAATTCTAGTCCGGGTGACCGAAACCTCTTAGCACGATCTTCCCATGGTGTATTTTCATCAATGTAAACCTTGTGACTTCGTGAAAACGCATTGGTGGTGGTGACGGTGGCTACCAAGAGAACCAGAAGAAGCTGGTGAATGGTGCCGATTGGCATTACGTTGTGCATTGGTTTGAGAAAGAAAAAGGACTGATCCGGCTTTCTACCTGTCAGGTGTAGTATGGGCCGGACTACTGTGGTATGCTGACGCTTAAGTGGGATGGCGAGTCGCCTTAATTCGCCGTTTGCTCAGTCCCTTTTGACCTTGAAAATGGTGCGTGTATTGGTGGATTCTGGCAGCAATATGCTCTCGCGCGATGGCTGGTTTCCCTATCCAATGTCCACCTAGCCAATGAGGACACTACCTTAGGAAACTTGACGCGAATAAGAACAATTAGAAAGGCACTTTGTCCTGGCGTTAAAATGTAAACTTCGTCTGTTTTGACGACCCTTTGTTTTCTTACCTGAACAGGACTTTCCAGTGATGGTAATCAGTTATTTTTAATTTTGATGAAACGCAAAATACTTTCAAGGTAATCAACTGAAGACTTAGCCAAGGTAACCAGGCAGTTAAACAAGAGAACAGGGCGTGCACACAGGGAAACTTATTTACTTTATATGCTCTGTGTGAAAAAAACTGTGGTCGTGCCGTGCATAAACTATCTGATCCAAACAATTATGGGCCAATGCACTATTAAAACGTGTGTCGCCAAGAAGTGCAAATTACAACAGATGCAATTGTCCAGTGAGAGACTCAGATAAACGGATAAAGGCTACATTATCTGCGACCTGGACGAAGGTTAACAGCAAAATTACACTCTATAAATGCTCCCAGTAGATACAGAATGCAGCAGAGAATACTCGACATTTAATCCTCTTTGCTATTTGTGTACGCTTCTTAAATTTGATTTGCATTTCGCCGCCCAAACGTCGACACTTTAGCGTTCAATGACTGATAAAGCAGACAGTTTCGGGTATGCATCTCACTTTTTAGTTTTAAACTTGACTATAAAATAAGGTGTGGGATACATAACAGATTACTTTGAAAATACCTATGCCAAAGGTGACGGGAATTATGGAATGTGACCTAGATCCAGAGGCCTATTGGACTCGTAATCGCTTAAAAAGCTTTTTCTGAGGAGGAATATGCTAAGAGGTAATTTTGCAAGAGGGAGACAAACAGTTTTGACAAAGGATGGAAGTTCTATAATATTTGTGTAATTTTATATGATACTAAGCGTCGTAAACGAAGGTCATATATTTGTGTGCGTTCTTCTAAAAGTGGGTCTAAATCTAAACTGACCAAGCATGCTTGGAGGGCCTTCAGAAATGAAAGCTTCAATTTTCTACCTAAGGCAAACTGTTTCCTTTGCAGTTACTGCTCAATAATATCAGATTCCTCATAAGCTGCAGTAATAGATTTATAAGATAATACATTGCTCGAACTCATCAAAGATCATAAGGCATAGGCAGATTTACAGTGACTATCTGCGAAAAACTTTCACGTTTTTCTATCGCGCCATTCAATTCACTGTCCGGCTGCCCAGGATTATGCGTAGATCCGGAAACTGACTTCAAAAACTTGTCTCGTGACTCCTTAGGAAGTACTTTAAAATCAAATTAGTCACTTTAGAGGCATTATTATTGATAGAACGGGGTCTGCATATTAACACAGAGAACATAAATACTTACATACTAGCATAATAGCGATTATTATTCTTTGCTAACTAAAAAGTATTATTATATGCCTATTGGGAGCGCTTCCGGAGAACATATGCCAATGAAATCTTTGGACATAATTTTAAAAAATCGGTGAGCTTCGCATGTACAGTGCCAAGACAAGTTATTTTTTGTAGGAAACTGATTAGAAGACTTCATTTTGTTAGCAAAGTGCAGGGTGATCACCGCTATCCAGTCTGCAAGACCACTTATTTCTGTGATGAGGTGTTATTATTAGACAAGCCTACGACTTTGGGTGATGTGGTGATACGTGGGCAGAGCGTTCCATGAGATCGCGTCCAAATTACAAATTCCTCTAAAACTGCCTACTTTTCATGGCTTCGACGGTCGTAAAAGTCATAGGGCGATCTATCTTGGAATTTACAAAGCAAACATCGAACACATCACCGGAGGCAGAAGCAGATAAGGGTGTTTCATGCACAAGGGGCTGCAGTATTTATAGGATGCAGTCGCCATGCTACCGCATACCGACAAATATTCACGGCTCCCCTCTTCATCAGAATCGTTGCACGTGGTGTGATGACTGTTTGATGGCCGACATTCGCGTCGTTAATTGCTGCAATCTCATCACTTGCGTTGGATGTTGGTGTGATGATTGCTTGACCATCTGATCCACCGACCCTGGCGTTGGGAAAAGTGTTCACTTGTGCGCTTCCCGCGTGGCTAATTACTCCGCCTAGGCGGTGTCTCCGCACCGAGCATGGAGCGGGAAGATCATTAAACTTGTTAATAGACTGGGGGCCAGTAGCATGGCTACTGCATCCTATAAATACTGCAGCCCCTTATGCATGAAACACCCCTATCTGCTTCTATCTCTGAGGATGGGTTCGAGCAGGAATCCGAAACGTCAGGCTAATAAGGCTCTTGCCAGCGATCGTGTCTCCTCCTTCAAGACTGCTTCCTGGGACTCGTCTCTTCGCTTCTGTTGGCAATACATAAATGTAAGGAAACCGTAACTGTTACATAAAATTTGACAATTTAAATATTCACCAGACCGAGTGTTCTAGTATATGTAGATACACGATTGAAGAGCCCTTAAGTTCGAATTTCCTCATCTTTACTTATCGTTTCTTCACATACGCATTTTAATGTCTGCCAGAATTCTGATAAGTCCTACGATTTTTAATCATGATTCATTCGTTTTCATTTATTCGAACTACAGTAAAAATCAATTATTTGAACGAAAACAAAGAGCCGTAATAATGCTTTGATCATGTACTTAAAATGTTCGTTTTTAACTGATTTAATGCAGACCGGATTGGACGCCTTCAGCTTTATAGTGATATTTTGCGAATTTTTTTGTTTTTCCTAAGATATCCTGCCTTTAGTTCAGATATGCTGCCTGGGTTAAGTAAAAATGTATTTGGTATAGTTTCGACGCCGATTTCTCAGATTGTCCTCAAGAGTGAAGAAACTGTGAAAAAAACATTTAACATTGTGAGCATGCCGAAAGAGGTCACCATCTGTCTTGCGTCTGTGCCAGTAGACGGACGCCGTGCGCAGTCTTGTTCTGATTTGTTTTTTTCCCATTTCTATTTCATACATTTTTACGTGGTATCTAACTCGGTATGGTGATTTATGTGTGGTCCGTCCGAATGCCTGACCTTGAGGAATTGAAGAACTCTCTTCTATAAACAGAGACTGATAATGTGGATTCTGTCGCAGGGCAACTTAAGAAGGTTCTCTCGCCACCTTTCTGATAGCTGATGTTTGTTAGTGTGTTTAGAGGCGGATTTTCTAGTTTGCTCACAGCAAAATACATTACAGACATCAGATGAGGTCTTGTGGACAGCTTCCTTACTACCCAACTAACAAAACTTATCCTTAGAGTGTGCTAACTGATTGAGGAAATGATTATTGGTTAGCATGCCATTTAAAATGAATTGTTGCACATTTTTAATGAACGGAGGGGTTCGAAAGGTATTTGGCTTGGGTGTCTGACTGAAACGATTTGGTAGGTTTTCGTTTGGCATTTATTATTTTCCGTATAAATGTGGACAATTGTCTGTTGTTTTGTAACTGGGCATCCAAAGGCCTTCATACGGAAGTGTGCTAGGAAGGCCCACCCTTAGTGGTTGAGCGCTGAAAAACTAAAGTTCTGGCTCGCGATTCCTTATATAGAGGCAGTTTCAGAAACGATGGCAAAGATCCCGAGACCTTTCGGGATTGATACGGTTCATAAACCGAAATCAAAGTCAGGAACAAATCATGAAGCCAAGGACCCATTACCTGTTACAATACATTCGGCAATGACCCACAGAATAGCATCCCAAAATTGTGATGCAAGGTATGTCGGTGAAAGAGGGAAACGTTTTGGCACAAGACTGCATGAAAACCAGCTTGCAACTAACCGCAAGGATAAGTTGACTGTGCTTTATGACCACTTGCAACAGCAGAACCACAGTTTCACCTTTGAGAGAAAAGGAACGATCGGATGAGCCAATAAGACGATGGCTAGACTAATACGCGAAAGTCAGTCCTCGACTGACACACTTAACCGAGCTGTAGTGCTGCATCCCTCCCATCAGACAGTACACAGTAGATGCATATTGAACTAAATATCCATCGGGAGCTATTGCAATACGCAGGCCGGCAGTCAGTAAACTGTAGTATGTTTAATGAAGGGATACATATTGGTATGCGGGAAGCTACTACTAAGGAACACACCCTGCATTGCCCGAGATGCAGTCGGTCCGGTAAATGACGACTTTATCCGATTTTCTGCAGGGGTTTGCCATAGTTGCATGTCATATTGCTGGCCAGTGATGAAAAACTAAGATATCAGGACCACACACAGTTATATGCTTGCAATTCTCTAGGCATCTGTGTAACGGTTTTCGTGAATTTACTAGGCTTTGAAACGAGGAGTCTCTTAAATGCTAATGAACAATTTTCGGCCTTTGGAGTCCTCAGACGCGAACCACAGAAATAGTTTTTCTGAGCATAAAGCAACTCTTGGAAGCCCTTTATATGACCGATAAGTAACTCCACTGCTACGATCATGGTGATAGGATTTGCATGGATTGTGCAGAAATTGGTTTCATGCCGCGAAGGCGAAGAATCTCGTTCGACAACAAACGTCATCAGTCCCCATAGTACAGAAACCGCACGATACACCGAAGGTCGGAAGCGATCCCCTGACAAGCAGAAGGCCAATAAATTCTTGATACAGTGTCAGCAGATGGGGTATATGCCACAGTCGCATTAAATTTGGCAGGCTACTTTTAGAGGACCAAGAACGTGTTACGGGGTCTCCAATTCTATGAACCATGCAAATCCTATCACTGCCATCGTTGAAATGCTAAGTTAGTGGGGGCGATGGAAAACTTGGGGCATTCTTCCTGATCGATCGCCTTAAGGGACAAGCTCTCATTGGCTGTCCCGATACT